TTCAGCCAGTGGAAAAAGGATAGTTTATCTTAGGAGTGAACAAGCTGTAGCCCGCAAGCTAAACTGTGCCATCCACCTGTCTATGTAAATAAAATTACACTGGAACAGGGCCATGCTTATCACGGGCAAACTTTCACAGATGCTTTCATGCTACACACAAAGTCACAGAGTTGCAACACAGCATCTGGTCTGCAAACCTGAAAGTGTTTACTCTCTGATCTTTAAAGTCTGCTAACACAGAAGTACTTTGGGGCAGAGGGGTGGTACTGGGGAATGAACCTAGGGCCTTCCCAAGGAAATACATACCCAATTTTTTTTTTGAGACAGGATCTCACTAAGTCACCCAAACTTGTGATCCTCCTGCCTCAGCCTCCCATACTGCTGGGATTACAGGTATGCAGCACCATGCCCAGCTAATGTATGAATGGATAAATAGTATGTGGGATTACACACACACACACACACACACACACACACACACACATTTATATATTAAGCCTTAAGGAAGAAGAAAATTTTGATGCTACAGCTTGGGTAAACCTTGAGAAATAAGTCACAAAAAGGCAATGTAGCACTCAGAAGGCTAAGCATAATACATAGCAAGGCTGTGTCAAAACAAAACAAAAAAAAGACAAATACTGTATGATTCCCCTTACATGAGGTACCTAACATAGTTAAACTCAGAAAAAAATAGCTGACTAAAGGATATAGACTTTCAACTCTGCAAAAAGAAAAGTTTTGGAGAACAGATGCACAATCATGTAAATGTACTTAACACTACTGGACTGCACAGTTAAAAATGATGAAGGCAGTAAATTTTATGTTATATGTATCTTACTAAGAGTTAACATTTTTAAATTTTTGAAAAAAGGAAAGGTACTATTTTCTTCTAAAAAAAAATCAAGCAACATATGATTAGTTGTGGAACACAGAATATTTATATTCCACTCTACTAAAAATAATTATCTCTGCACAGTCAAAATATATTACGAATTATATGTATCTTTCTGAAGTGACAAAAATTAAAGTGAAAGCAATAATCATCACTTTATTAAACAATGAGTCCCTCTTCAAATAAAAACAACAGAAGAACAGAATTATAGCTCGCCGACATTTATAACCCTGGAGGAGCAGGAATCCTAACAAATATGGCCATAATTTGTCACAAATTTCTCCTCTCACAACACTAAAAATTAACGTTTTTTGAAAACAAAAGAGTCTAAAATTTGGCTCCTTCTTCAGTTTAGGAAGTACCAAGTTAACTCCTGACACCCTAGTTTCCATTTTTAAAAATGTTTTCTCTTCCAAAATCCCTACATATTTAAATTTTTAAATATTGTTAAGCACATTACAATAAAAAGTAGACAGGCTTAGGTAAAAATGGCTAGTGAACCTCCAAATTAAAAGGAATAGGTTTTCATTGGAGTAATAAATGGGAAAGAACACAGTTCTGCTGATTATGAAAGATAATAAAACTAAATTCTAACCCTAGTTTATTTTACTACTATATGATTCAGAAGAACTTCTTTCAAAGACAAGTAGGAATCACTTATCTGTATTAGACAATAAGCACAGTTTACCAGCTTTGTGTTTCTGCTTAAACCTAACCATTGTTAAATTATTCCTAAGAAGATTATGTGAATTTATTTACAATCTCAAAAACATGTAGGATATAAAGCAGATGATTAAATGATCTTTGTTGATTAAATAAGAATGGATATTCAGATTATTTAGAATTTCTCATTCTTTATAGGATAAAGAAAAACCTCCTTCGTAAGGTCTGACTCTAACCTTCAAAGCCTTATTCCCCTCAACTCTAACTGCTCAATATAAACAGGATGTCTTAAGACTCACAGCGCCCCCTGTGCCTCAAAGTTCTTCTTGTGACTCTATGCCTGCCCAGGAGTCCACCCATCTATCAGATACTTGGATATAACAAGCAACACAGCTTTCTCTGCCCTCCCAAACCAGAACAAATTCCACCTAGGGACATTATACTTTGACTGCACTACATAACTCTTTCACCACAGAAATTAGTGCTACAGTTTTATATTTGTTTGTATAGTCAGCTGTTACTTTTTTAACCTTTTGACAATTTCTCTGATGTATAATATTAATCACCATATAAACCTCCTGTGCACAGCACCAGACACAGCGTGCAAATACTTGTGAGTAAATGAACTCATATCAAAGAGACGAACAAGACAAATCTTTCTTACCCAAAGTACAGCATATTCCCAGGACAATTGTTTCTTGAAAAACAAAAGCGATAAGCCTTATTTTCATTCTGTAACATAAACAGCAATGCCTAAAGACTTCATGGTCAGTCAGACACACAAACTTAAATATCACATGGTTTCTCTTACATAAGAAATCCAAAGTAGAAATAAAGAGCAAAATAAAAGATAATAGGAAACAGGAAGACAACTCTTTTGCAAAAGGAAAGGAGACCAAGAGATGTAGAGAGTGGGGAGGGATTAAAAAACATTCAGATGTGTTATGTACGGATACCAACTCCCCACGATGCAGGTAACCACTATGTACTGCAAACATGCAAGCATAAAAGTTTTTAAGAGACTCCACGGTTATTTTATAAATCTTTTTGATAAAATGCCCTCATTAGTTACCATCTACTTACATGTGCTATTCTAAATAAAATTTTGGTTGTATTTCTGAAACACTTTCTGTCATTAATCTCATTTCTAGAATACTGGCTATTACTGAAGCACCTGGATTTCTGGAACTCAAATCTGAAACTCACACACCAAACCAAACTGTTATGTAAATGAGAGAAACATGGTCTGTAACATCTCTGGACAAATTTAACTTTTACCACTAATACCCTGTTACTTGATTATAGTCATTTTGAGCCCATGATAAATACACTGCAGATTAGAAAAAAAGAAGTTTTCCAACAACCTTTACAAAAGTTAATCTTTATATTCCTCTACCAGTTACAGATTTTCTAGGTTGCTATCAATTTATGTATTTAATAAAAATAGACTGGTTTTTTGTGATAACTGTGCCTTGAAAATTTTGTAAAGTTAAGTTTTATAAAGAAAAATTATATACTGTTCATAAATCAGAACTAGAATTCTTCACTTTTGTCATTCTGAATGATGGATTGACCTTCAGTTTCTTCATTTATTAAATCAAATAATGATTCCCACCACCTAGAATAGTTTTGAGGCATCAACATGATAAAATAGGCCTTAATCAAATATACCCAGGAGCCTCATTCCTTTCTTGCTATACAGAAATTCTAATAGGATTCTGCAGGGTAAAATAAATATTTTAGTAAAATTATTCCATTTATGTCTTTTTTCCCTTGTTCTTTTTTTTTCATTTATATACTAATAAATGCAGATTTTTCTGGGTTTTCTTTAAATCTTCTTACTAATTTAGAGTCTCAGTACAGTTACTTATATATAGTTGTATTAAAAAAAAAAAACAGGTGCTAATTAATCAAAATGTTGCATAAGTAAAGGCCACAATTAATAAACAGCCTATCACAACCATACAAACTAATCAAAAGTTAGTAAAAGAAATACCTTTAGATTACAGAACTAGAAAAAAGGAAAGCAAGGTCCTATCTTTGGTCATAGATAAACAGAAATTCAAAAATGCAAAACTGAGAAAGCCAGGAAATGATAAACTGGCAAAAAATAGAACTCTTAAATTTTTACATTCACTTACATATTATGCTTCTGGAATTTTACTGAAATTCAATAAAGAAGAACCAAAATGGAAAGGGTGTAAAATCAAAAACAAAGATGTATAGTTTAACTGAGAGTCAATGAAGTCCTCAGGCTCTTTTTCTTTTTAAGAAGAAAATGCCCACTACCCTGGCACAGTGAAGATTAGGCAGGAAGTTCCACTCTAAGAGAATCCCCATCTGGCAGCCAGGCTTTGTCAAGCAAATTGAGAATTTTCTACCTTCCCCCTTTCTAACTAATTAAAGAATTTTACAGAAACCATTTTGTCCATACACATACATTTTCTTGGTCATTCTGTCCTCTGGAGACATAGACTGACAATTTTGTAGCAGAACAAATGGTAAATCAAAAAGGAAGACCTCTCCTCTGTAAAAGTACACCATTATGCTGACAATAATCTCATCATTAAGGAATAATATAATAGACTTTCCTTATAGGAGCTTAACATATCAATAATAAAGTAACTACTATAGTGTTAAGTATATAATGCCAGAACTGAACAATCCACATAAATGCTGGGAGATACAAGTCTCAAAAGAATTCTGGAACCCTTGTTTTGGAAATGTCTTCCAAGTTTGTTCAACTAAATTCCACACATAAGATTCTTTGGTAGGCATGGGAATGCCTTATAGTATGTTTCTATGGAGCTCACTTTGTAAGAAAATAAGGTTCATGAATCATAAATGACTTTACAATGTTAACAAAAATTCACATGCTGAATGCTTCCTCAAAACATGTTCATGACCTGATCAATAAGTGATCTTGCTGTATGTCTATTTCTGTTTAAAAATAGCACCATCCCCGGGGGTCTATTTTGAAAAGCAAACTTCATCAGCTAAAAAAGCACAAAAAATAGAAATAACACATGGCACTCAACAGATTATGAAACAGATGCTTATTTACAGTGTGTGAGGTGAAACATGAAGGCAAAATGTTACTTTGTTCAGTTTCAGCTGGGGATGTGCATCAGGCAAATGAAATTTTTACCACTCTCACATCTGTGACAGACACAAAAATGCTCCAAGTACTGACTTACAGGTTGCAAATAACTGTGGTACATAAGTGAATCTGCAAATACAGAAGCTACACATAATGAAAAGGAACTGTACATGAGTTAAAAATTTCAATGACATCTCTGGTTTAATTGTGAGTGAAAGCTACAGATTTGAGAAATCCTAATACTGTTAATGATGCAAACTTAAAGAGTTTGGCGCAAGAATGCTTTAACAAGTACGATGTCTGAGGCTTTCACACATGGTTATTTTTCAAAACATTACTTCCTACCTGATATATTCTAAAAGGGATATAACGAAATCCATTTTCTTCTGCAGGATATTCCATGAGTTTCCGATTGATGGCCCAAAATTGGTCAAATCTGTCTGAAATGATATAAATTACTTGTTATTAAAAGGAACATGATAATAAGACATGAAAATTTTTTAGGGAGACCTAACTCATGGTCCTCTCTTACTTCAACCTCTAAAGTGCTGGGATTACAGTCACGTGCCACCACACTCAGCTGAGATGCTTTTACTTATACCAGTACTATTTTGCAACGTGACAGGCTTCAAGCCTTTCCTACTCCCATCTTCAACTCCAACCCGGGAGTTTGCCCGTACTGTATTAGAACCGACAGGAGAGGGAATTTTACAAGATGCAGCCAAAGTTGTTACATATTATTCAGAATGAGGACCAGAATCTGGGACATCAAATTCGAAGTCCACAACCGTCTCAAAACTCTACCTTAATAACAAAGAGCAGTAGTACATAGCCACAATCTTGGCTGCTTGTGAGGCTGAGGCAGGAGGATCACAAGTTTAAGCCCACCCTGGGCAAATTACCAACACTTTTTTAAAAAAATAAACAAATAAAAAGTGATGGTGACATAGCTCAGTGATGGATCACTACCTACAAAAAATAAATAAATAAATAAATAAATAAATAAATAAATAAATAAATAAATAAAAAGTAGCTCTTCTGACATGGTTCAATCATACACAAAACAATTATTCTTTAAACACTTTTTAAGTTTCTACCATCAGGTATCAAAAAAGAATGTGGCAGCTAACTAAAATGGTTCTTCACATTTACTTCAGAATTTTACTCACTGCCTTGTCATTTAATCTCTATCACCTAGCATGGTGCATGCATAGCATACACTCTTGAATCAAAGAATGAATACAGAACATAGTGTTTCTTCTTAAAAAATTGGTTTCTAACCAATTAACCTGTAGCTAAATAGTAAGGTGACTAGAAATAAAATCTACTGAAAATTCCAACTTAATTCACAAACAAATACAATAAAAGACTTAGATTTGTTTCCAATGTCTCTTCTAAAAATAATCTTTTACTTAATGGCTCTTTTATTAAAGTTGAACTAAAAAAAAATAATAAAGTTGAACTAGTTAAAAAACATAAGCAAACCCCCAAACAGAAATTTGTATCAATGCTAACAGAAAAGCAACATAGGCTAAAGCAAAACTTCTCAACCAGGCAAGACTTTGCTTCCCCAGGAAAATATGGTGATATCTAGAGAGGTTTTTGGTTGCCAAATCCTAGTCTGTGACTAGGATTTAGTAGACTTAGGCCAGGAATGCTGTGAACAATGCTACAATGCATACATAGAACAGCTCCCCAAAACAATTATCCTGAGCCAAAATGTCAACAGTGTTAAAGAAAGGAAAACAATGATGAAAAATAAAAGGTTCAGAAAGGTAATTAGTAAAAAGGTAATTGCAAAAAGTAGGTGAATGAAAAAAGAACAATACTGTGGCCATTATTTATGCAATAACCCTCAGCTCCATGTTTGCTCTTCAATAAATGCAGTGTTTTATGGACACAAATCCTTTAAACCAGTGGTAACCATATTAAGATTTCACAGCGAAGTGTGAAACGGAGGGCTCTTCTGCAGTTTCCATCTGCAGCATGGTGATCCGTGGAGCTGGGGTAAGGACATTAAGTGGAATGCTAGCCCAGCCACACGCCCAGAAGCACCCTTGCAACCTTGGCCCTGCCTAATAATATGCCCTTTCAACACAGACTCGCACTCCCAAGGCTTCCCGTCTGGATGAGTACATGTGAGGCCCAGAAGGGCTTCTAGTCTGCAACTTTACATGTGGACCCCCACACCCTCTCTATACCACATCACCCTCACTGCCGACAGACTATAGACTCCAGCCTGGACAAGACAGTGACCTCTAATTTGGTGGGTTGAACTATGCCTTCCCTAAAGAGGTCTAAACCTCAGACTTGGAGAAGGGCCTCCTGTACATCTGTCCTTTATTGTCTTATTTATAACCACTCTTATCAGAGTTTGGTAATTCTTTATAAAAACTTTACCTTGTTCAACTCACTGTGTGGATTCTATGTCCCGAATGGACTTATACAGATTAAACCATGTTTAAAGGGAAGAAAGACAAAATGAAGAATCTATTAATTAATATTACTTTTAATCTTCTCATGTTACCTGCCTATATGAAATTGGTATCTAAGCAATATTAAAAGCACTCTAACCAATAATAACTTTTATAGGTAAATGTTATTAACAGAAAAGACACAGACATAAAATCAATGGTGTAACAGCATATAATCAAGCATCTTTCACAGAGGATTTTGTAATATTAGTATCTCTTCTATACTTTCATCAGTAATTAAGAAAAACTAAAGGGCTGTGCATGTAGCTGAGTAGTAGCAAGACTGCTAAACATATGCAAGGTCCTGAGTTCAATTCTCAGCACCACAATAAATAAATTAATGCAGAAGAAATGATGATTTACTATCACCCTATATATTTATGAGTCAAGGACATATTAACCTCTTTTTCAGCAATAGTTTAAGTTTTGAACTATGCTACTAATTACAATTTAGTCATAAAATTAGCAATTTTTTTATTAGCAATCAAGGACAATATCTGTAAGTAACAAGCAAAATGATCTTTGGCTATTCATATTTTAAACTGTATGTAATTATATATTTGTTATATATCTATATGATATATGTAGATCAATTTCAGCAATTTTCAAATTTATATGCTTCTAACTCCAAAACACAAAAATGTACTAAGTAGGAAAAACACCTAGAAGCCACTTAGCCTTATGGAAGATGAGAGAGCTTGAGACAGGGGTTCACTCTGTAGTTCAGGCTGGCCTTGAACTCACTACATACCTCAGGTGGCCTCCAACTCACTCTTGAGAAAGAAAGAAAAAATATACTTCCTGCCAGAACTACTAGATACATGATAAACTATTCTGCTCTTAAAAATGTAATATTTAAGAAGAGTAATAAATCAAGGATCATAAAATGGAAGGACTGTTACATAGAAAAACTTCCATCTATTTTTTTTTGAAAGAGATCAAAAATAAGAATTTTTCAAAAACACTGGTGGCTACCAATTTTTCCTGTGTTCTGTATTGAGCTTTTATGTTGCTCTTATAAATTTTTAAAAATCCACCCTGGGAGTATAACTCAGTGTAGAGTGCTTGTCTCGCACACATTAGTACCTGAGTTTGATCCTCAAGCACAATGAAAATTAATTAACTATCTTCAAGTCTAAGAGTTAAAGTTACTTAAATTTGTTCCTGATATGACAAAACAATGGCAACTTTTAAAGGATTTACCTATTCTTTCACTTAAACTTTACGGGAGGAAAGAACTGCAGGCAAAATAATTTTCAATCTTATGCTAGAAGTAACATAACTAAAATCCTCCACAGGAGACATGGAGGACATGCAGCGTTATTCAGGTTGAGCTACAAAAGCTCAATTCAGCTGCTGGACCCTCATATAACAGGAAGGGGTTGAGACTGCTTCCAATGCACACACTATCCACTTCCTGGTCTTTAACATTCACAGTGCCAAAGACAAAGGTAGAACATCCCAAATAAATGTCACTATGACAGGATATTTAAGACAGACTAAAAAATGTTCTTTGAGAAGAAAAGCAAATGGCTAGATAGAAAAAAAAATCACTACAGAAAGGAACATACTCTTCATGAAATTTTAGATTACTAGTATTATTCAGATCAGTACTACATGTAGTGTTTTAACCAGAGAGTTTCAAGATATGTATCAGAAAACATTTTTAAATATAGAACTATTTGAATTAATTTCTTCAAAACTAATGTTACATAGTCTTGTAAGGCAAAATAGGAGGGGAAAAAAGGAACATATAGTAATTTCTGTCAGACTGCAAAAAGCAGGTGTCAAACGATCTGTATCTTCAAATTCATTTGTCTTCTGAGTCATCAAATTAGGAGAAGTGTATCTTCCAGGGTGGTTGGGCTAAAGTAAGAACAAGGAGCATTCCCTCTCCCTAAGCTCATCTATCAGTGCTCAGATGCTGCTCAATAAAGCTATATCCACACACGTATATTTAAGCCAGAAAGGACCTGTACTGCATGAGATAAAAAGTAACTGGGATATACCTGGTGGGGAACTCCTAACCAAAGTATCCGTGAAAGTGCCCAAAGCCCCTGAAATTCATTATTGACACAGAAATAGCAGGAGTAGTGGCTGGCCTCTGCATCAAGGCTGAGGAGTGCCAGGACTGGTGAAGGTTAATCATTAATCCTGTACATAAGTGCATCTCGGCAGCAGGATTGTACCCAGAGGAATTTGTGGCTTGAGAGAAGGAAAAGGAAAATAAAAACTGAACTACAGGAAAATTTTGACATATACTATTGCCGTCTGAGAATAAACTGAGAGAAGACATTTACTCCTTTGCCCTAAAAATAAGAACTACAGTCTAGGAAAATGGACATCAAGAAGAGGAATCAAAATACATTTAGAGTCCAATTTCTTCTGTGCTCGTTGCTACCACTTTCATGGTAATCAGTACCATTTCTCATCTCAAGAGCCTCCTCATTGGTCACTGTCCTTCTATGTTTGTCCTCTCCACACAGCATGCTCTTTTTAAACATGTTTGTCCTCTCCACACAGAATGCTCTTTTTAAACATAAATCAATTCATATCAGTAATAAAATTTTCAAACATATCTCTAGTGGTCCATAAAGAGCAATCTGGTATGACGCCTTTTAACAATACAGTAAGTCTAAGAATAATTTCAACACAAAAACCAAACAATCCACTGTACTCTTTTGTTGCCTACAAACTGGGGTAGACTACTCTCTGCCAGAAGAAAACAAATGCTGTCAGTATTCAACAAATACTGAACGTAATAAAGTGTCTCCCCCACAGAAAGCAGTTTCCTAATAGCCTCTTCCCACCCATTTGGAATGCTATTACTCCACATAGCATTCTTAGGTCTCACTATTTACTAACTTTACTAAGTTAATACCACTTTCTAAACTCCAACTCATGCTATTTATTTCTTCCCAAAAAAGTATCAAACTTGTCCTTATCTCAGTTTCAGCAACTTGGAA